TTTTTTTTGTGTGTGTGTGTGTGTGTGTCCATCCTCGCCTACAAACAGTGACTCTTCAAGTAGGTATTCTGACTGGATAGCTGATGCAGGAATAAATCTCCAGCCTCCTGTGAGAACTGCTCGCCGGAAAGCTGTCAAATATTGCAGTACTTCAGAAGATGAAATATCAGTAGAGAAATCTTCTCCTAAAAAGAGAAGAAGAAAAAGAAGGAAAAAACCCAAACCAAAAAAACAGGAAGAAGTATGAGACTACTTATTACTTCTGTTTGCTTAATAGATTTCTCCTTTTATGCCTGGGAACTTGCAGAGTTCATATGTATTATCTTTGTATTAAGTAAAGATATTTGTGATGTTACCAGTAGTGGCTGGCATAGAGCCAGCTTTGAGCTTGGTCTCCTCCCCAGTGTTCTGTTGTCCCCTTTAAAGTCTGTAGTTTTTTACCTTACACATCCAAAGACTGCTCATATTTGGGGAGTCCTAAACAAATCATTTTTTCCTGTTCTTACATTTCTGTATTCGCTGTTAAAATGCCTTTGCTGCTTTTCTAAATTTTAAAATAATTTTTTGTACAGAAAAATCCAAAAATTAACAAATTACTTGAACTGATGTTTAGTAGCCCCATTTTAAAGCTATGCATAATGAGCTGATAGACCTTAAAGCCTGCCCCCTCCTTTAATGTCTGTTAAAGTTAGATTTTATAACATACCCTGAAGGACAGAACATCTGGGCCTGGGTGAATGGTGACTCTGGTACCTGCTTTTACTACGAATGGCCTTCATTTAAATAAAAGGAACACCAGCTATGAACAGTGTAGATGTCTGAGTTATAGTGGTATCATTGGCAGCCATAAAGGCAAATGGGGACTGGTATAATGTGCTGTTCAGTAGGTGGCTGAATTCTGTGCTAGCTTCTGTTCTGGCTCTTCTAAAGGTATAGTAGTGCAGTGCATTATAATTCAGTAGGCAAGGATAAGCATGACAAGGTCTGAATCAAAAATGAAGTTGTTTGGCTAGTCAAATACAGTATGTCCAAAATGCTGTCAGAGGGAAGACTAAACCTTTTTAAAAAAAAAAAAAAGAGCATCAGGTCTCAAGAAATCTACAGGAAGCTCATTTGTGGGCAGGCTGTCAGTGCTCTCCCTCCCTCCCTTTCCCTTGGGTAGGGAGGGAGAGCAGAGGACTGTGGAATACTGGGTGTCTCTTGAGAAAAGCATACTGCATTCAGATTGATCCTGAGGAGCATTTTCCTTGTAGGTAATCAGTCTAACTTCTTGTGGAAGAGCTATTTTTCTTTCCCAAGAAAGCCCTTAAAACACCTTTATTCTCTCTCTCTCTTTATGCTGGGAGAAGGACTCTTCTCCCAGTGCACTTAAAACATCTCTACTTGGCCTTAGAATTGGTTGCATTACCTAATCAGTTTTGGGTTTTTGGTAAAATAATTTTGGAGTTGCAGACATCTAATGTTAAGACTAAGTTTAGGACAGATTATCTGTTTCCTCAATCCAATGTTGTTTGTATAGTATCATATAATTACAGTATTAGAATGTTAGTAATACTTTCAGTTGACTTAACTTTTCAGATTTAAATTGTGCCTTGCAGTTAGTCAGATTTTACTTGGTAATTTTCAAAATTATTACTTGCAAGTCTCCTGTTCTCTCATTTCCTCATATTAGCTATCTTGATTTATTCAGTAGGAGAACAGCAAATAGAACCAAAATCATGTACTACTATGAGATCTTGAGAATTTTCTATTTTTAAATAAGACCTTAAATAGAGTGATGGAGTTTTTCTCATTTCATAGTTTTACCTTATATCCAACAATTTTTTCAAACTGTATAAATTGCCCTGACACCTATCCCAAGATTGTATTTAACTATCCTGCTTATCCAATGTTCAGACTGATACTCTTGCACAGCCAGTAATCCCAGAACTGTTAGATGACTGGCATCCTCCTGTTTGGATAACAGACACTGCGCTTCGAAGATCGCCATTTGTTCCTCAAATGGGTGATGAGGTGAGTCTGTTTAGTGAAAACCTTATGAAATGTAAGATCCTCTTTAAGTTAATATAGTTGTTTGTTCTAAGAGTAGGAAAAATATTTTGTTCAAGTGAACAATTTACTTTTTTTTTTTAAACAGGTAATATATTTTCGCCAAGGGCATGAAGCTTATATTGAGGCAGTCAGAAGAAATAATAATTATAAACTGAACCCCCACAAGGAGCCATGGAGAAAAATGGTTTTGAGGGTAAGAACATTGAAGTGATTTTTTTTTTATGAGCAGTAATAAGCCGTAATCAGTGCTAAGTGGCTCATGTTGGCCTTTTAAATGTTTTATAGTAAATATAATGTCTCCAGTTGTAATTCTACAAGTTCGTTTTCCTACCAAAATGGAAGAGGAGACTTTTTCCAGTTATCAAAAGAAGCTTCAGCATTGCATGTGTGAAAGTCTGTATATAAATTGTTCTCCTAAAATTGACTGAGAGTAGTCTGTCTCCCAATATTAACAATGCAGGCCTTTTGAGTATTGAGATGGTTCGTATATTTTGTAAAGTGAAACTGAGCTAGGAATTGTGAAATGTAATGGAATTGTTGTCTTAATTTTTATCTGTAGGATCAAGAATTGGTAAAAATTGTTGGGATAAGATATGAAGTTGGTCCTCCTACACTGTGTTGCCTCAAGCTTGCTTTTATAGATCATGCCACTGGAAAGCACACAGACAAATCATTTTCTGTCAAGTAGGTATTTTTCTGCATAATGCATGTAATATCAGCAGTTTTCCGTGGGTGGACTGCAGGGACAGATGCGTGCTGTGTTCTGCTGACTTCTTCTCTACTCTTCAGATTTACATCTGCAGATTAGTTAGCATCATGCTAAAGATGTTAGGCTACCCTGTGTCCTACCTGCAGAATGGAAAGCAGCAGAGCCACCTTAGTATGGTGCTGTGAGCAGGCTACTTAACTCTGCTATAATGTCACATGACTATGCATTTGCCTCTTTCATTCCAGAGCTAGTTCAGGTGTCTGCAGCATGTCTGGTAAAAAGACTAGAAAGGCATCGGGCTGTGGGGCCAATGGAAGGAAGTGAGCTATGACTTGGAGATGGGGGAGAGGTGGGATTTCAAGGTGTTGGATAACAGTTTTTGGGGGGGGGGGGTGT